GAAGAGCGGACCCCCCCCCCCCCCAGCGTATGAGTTTCAGATCTTACGTGGGTGGGGGGCTCTTGTGTCTGATGGGGGGCTCCCTGCCCTCAGCCCCGCTGGAGGCGGTGCCTAGCCAAGGCAACAGCCCGGCTGGACCTGCCCCTTTGGGCAGATTCTCTGCTGACCCTCGCCTCAAAAGCGCCTTCCCTTCACCCATTGCGCAAGAAGTCTGCGAGGAGCCCGACTCCACCCGCGCAGCCCAGTCCTTGCGCTGGTCAAAGGGGAGAAGCCGCCTGGGACCATGCCGCTCCTCGCACGAACGGCCCGTGTAAGAGGACAAGATGTGCTAGTTTGCAACCCATGCGGGACAATACCCTTCTCCGCCAGGCGGCTGTTCAGCCTGCTCCTAGCAAAACTTCTCATAAATCGATTACTTTTCCATATAAGACATCTTCTGACAAACATGTGCCATATGCAGCCGCCATGTTTCTTTGATCGAAATCCTGCTTTTCCAATTTCCCTCCCAATGCTTCCGGAAACAAATGAGGAATAAGACACTTAACCGCTGGCCACGTTCTGACAAAAATGTAAAACCTGAGAACTGTCAGAAGTGTGCGTTAAACTCGGAGGCTGCCGCTGCTTAAATGAATGCAGATAGATTACATGTGCTGGTCAACAAGGAAGCAAGGCCTGCTAATGGACACTTTATAAAGGGATGTTGTGGAGTCTAAATCACTTGCGATCTATTGATATCCAACTGGTGGTGTTTCTAAGAGTTGTGATCTAGTTCAACTACAAATCACTGGGCTCGATTTGAAAAATATTTTATGGCCTCTAACTGAAGTAGGTTAGGGCAGAGGTATTGAACTCTGCACCTTACAAAGCTGTTTTTGCAAAGTTGTGCTTAGAGAAATGTACTGTAAAGTTGCAAGCAAGACAAGAAGGGTACTATTTGTAAAAGAAGCATGCTTCCATTCTCTTTCACCTGTTCTCCATTACTTGTATGCAGCATTGTCTCCAAGGTTGGCTTTGTCCTGCTGTTGTATACAGGTTGCCCTTGTATCACAGTAGGATTGGACATCATTAAACACATTCTGCAGTAGGTCATGATTTTCCTAAAAATCCAAGGCTTCATTCACTATTCTGTTATTCTAGTGTAGAGTTATGCTTTCATAAAATGGCAGTAGTGGACCAAGACCACCAACTTTAAGAGTAAAGATTGTAAGCATCATGGTGGTGTAAATTAACATCCAATATAAATAAGACTGTCAGTGCCAACTTAACTGTGCCACTAGTGAAGCATTCACAGAAAATAAAATAATTATCAAGGCTGTAATTAAAAGCAGATGGATGATAATATTCCAATACATGCAGTTTTCATTCAGGCCTCTCTTTTTTTCTCTTCTAGGTTCATCTGAGAGTGGCAGTTGAGCCTGTTTATGAAAGATAAAGAGATGCATATAGCATAGCTGGTGGTGAGCGTTACAGGCAAGGTCACCTGAGAAGAACTTCAATCAAAGTTTTAATCAGTCTGAGTTCTGTGAGTAGAGACTAAGTAAGGACCCGAGAGTTTGACCTAATATATGTAAATAATCCAGTAGAAAATGAAAGTTAGTAAAAACAGTGATATTACCAGCTGCTTATTCTTTCAGCTGTCTCCTGGCCCTGTGCACATTGGGAAGGGTCCTGATGTACAGGGGGCTGGGAGATAGATGCTGCTGCAGAGCTCTTCTGGCCTTCTGCACATGGGGACAAGCCCCATGCCTAGCAGGGCTTCCCTTCACAGCCAGGAGCTGTCCCGGAGCGGTCCCACTTCTGGGGCAACTCCCAGCCAGCTCAGGGCCGCATGGAGATTCCCGTGAGTATGTGTAGACATATGTGTAGGTGGTGATGCTTTACTGCACAGCAGATTAGTCTCATGAGACAACAGATTATTGACTAATTTACTGGGCAGTAAAGTATCTCGTGTAGACACCCTGTGTGTGCCAGATTGGGGTCCCATAACTCGAGCTCCGGCCCTGTGCAGCCTGGATCGGGTTCCACTGCCCTGTCCTGTCCCAGTCCTGTGTATGTTGAATTGGGCCCAGTGTCCTTGCCCAGGCCCCAGCCCCTATCCCATGCATGCTGATTTGGGTCCCACCACCTTGGCCCCATGTATGTTGGATTGGGCCCTGGTCCTGGTCATGCTGGATCAGGCTCTAGTCCTTCATGCACTAGACTGGGCCCCAGCCACATGTGCACCAGATGTGGCCCACACCCTGACCCTGGCCCTGCACATGCCATATTGAGCCCATTGCCCCAGTACCAGCTCCCTGCTTGCTGGTGGGAACCCACATGTATGTCATCTGGCCAATAGGGCTCAGAAATCTGGCAGTGAGGGGAGGCTGGCAGTGTTATTGCCACCACTCCTGCCTGCCAAATTTCAGGATGCTTGGGGAGCCCCATGGGCCAGATCTGGCAGGTGGCATGGGGTTTGAGCAACTGATCTATAGTCTTTATTAGGATTTGCTAATTGTATTGTTTGTAATATATAACCTCTTTCCAAATTTTGACCCCCTCCCAATTGTGTGAAACCATTAATATTTTATTGCTTTTCTTTAATAAGCAGCTAACTACATCTAGGTTAGTAGAGGATTTTTTTAGTTTACACACCTGGATTCAGGTCCTGTGTCTTAATACAATGCTCGCTCCATGGTACAAGGCTGAGTCTTTAAATTACTTAGCCACATTTTACACTGTACATAAGTAGAATGAGACGTGAATAAAGTACTTCAGCTTGTCCTTAAGTTTAAACTTGTGCTGAAATGAAATCCTGTTGAGATAAAAGTATGTAAATATCTGCTTAAGTACCTTGGCAGTAGGGATGTATATAAGCATGAACTTGAATACTTTGCTGAATCAGAAAAAAATTGAAATCTTCTAAGACAATGAGGTAAAAATATTTCTGCCAAAAATATGGATCTTTTGTAATCAGTGCCACCAAAGACTCATAAGCCATCAACATAAAATTTAGGGACCTAGAATAACCATATGTCTTTGCAATAATAGTTGTAATCCATATTGTGGATACATATGTAAAACTGTTGATGTTTAAGATTGTTTAATAAGTGTTAGTAAAGGAACCAATGTGTTGTTTCCTACCTGAGTCTGGAGAGTTAGTGCGTCATCTCTGAAAATTAATTAATTTAAATGTCACCCTTATTAACAGTTTCAGTGGTGATAAAAGCCAGAAAGGAAAGAGACAGTTATGATATGAGAAAATATGCTTTGTTCTGGCATACCAAGCAGATTAGGCATTGCTATTTGTTTATGTCATTAGCTGGTTTTTTTGTTCTTTTCTAATTTTACAGCTGTTTATGGGTAGGGAAGCTGAGTCATAGAAAGGTTTGGTTAAGGTCATGTAGCATAAATAGCACAGCAGAAAGTAGAATGTTGGAGTAGTGCTGCTCAGGTCTCTGCTGGAATCAACATTTTCTTTTTTTTTTTCCTTTTCAAAATATTTTTTTATTTAATAGTTTGTTGTCTCGTGAGTGAATGTTCTTATGTCATTGAAAATTGGCATTTTCCCTTGAAAGGCTATTAATTTATATCTGTTACAGTAATCAGTAATAGTCTTGTTGTCATTAGCACTTCATTTATTGAAATCCTTTGTACTGTGGACATGTGATTAATACACACCTTACTCTTGTCCCATTCATTAAAAATAGATATGTCATAGAAACTGAATACTCATTATCTTCAGTGAAGGTACATACCCACGTGCTAAATGACATGGTATATGATGTGCACGTTGGATATAGTAAATGTTTTCAGTTTTATTTTCCAGCTCAAAATGTGTCATGTACCCATCACATACACAGAGAGCCTTTTGCATGTAGGGATAATTCTGAATGCATAGTGGCTGCAGAATGAGACCCAGTTGCTGGAATTTCCTGTAAAGTTAGTGAGAGCATACATGCATCAGTGACTATCAATGAGCCAGTCCAGATCCAGTTAACAGTTTCTAGTTTTGCTGGTTGAAAGGAGAGTTCTGTGTTGTTAGTCAATTAAAGTTGTTTCAGAAACTAGGGACCCACTCTTTGCTGGGAAATGCTGCATACCTTCAACTTCCATAGCTGCTAATGAATATTGAATGTGTTAAGAACCTCCTAATACTGTTTCTGTTGTAAATATAATGTGTTTGACCTTATTGGAGGCAAGATTTCACCTGCAGCAAGGTCTGCACATTTTTGTATTAGTATAATTATGTAATGTGACAGTATAACTGCAGATGTCAGAATCCACTAAAGCTTCAAGGACATGACTAAAGCTAGAATTTGGCTGCTACTCTTGTACTGGTTTTGGGTATCAAGCTTTTGAGTAAGGGATGGAAACAAAGATTTGTAGGTTAAGTCTGAAGGAAAATTGCTATATCTAGCAGCAACAATGTAAAGTTAGAAATGTAAATTAAAGCATTACATCCACCTGTTTTCCATTTGTTTGTTCCTAAGAGGTTTTTTTTCTAACAGGACATAAAACAGTAGGTGCTAAGGAGGTCATTTCTGGATGTTGTAGTGTTTCAACGTGTTTGATCATTGGTCTGCAGGAGCCCAGTTATCATTCATTCCAGTAAGTCCCTCCACACATTCGGTCCCTCTACCTTGAGGGTACCCATTACTGGGGAGGTAACGGGACTCTACTATCTTGAGCTAATAGCACCTAAGGCTATAATCTGGATTTCTCTATCTGTGTGTTGTCTTTGCAAATTCTATGACATCTGTGGGTTTGGACGGCCTGCTGCCTTCTGTGTGGTTTTAAAGGTCTCACAACATGAGCCTTCTCAGTAGCCTCCAGTCCGTGGAGGTTTACTTCTAACTTCCTCCCTTCTGTGGGAGAATGTGCTTTACCTATATTATCATATTGTTCTTATTAATCCCACATATAAGTTGACTCCACATTTTTTAGGTCAGTTTTATGAAAAACAGCTTTTTCCCTGAATAAAAGTCAAATGACTACAAATAGAACCCTTTAACTGCTATTACAAAATCCCACAGGAGAACAAATGGTCAGGTAAAGGACCCAAAGGATTAAATGCACTAAAATAAAAACCTCACTGAAAAAAAATGTCTGATCTGGTATTTTTACTGCATGCATAAAAACCCTGTGAGTACAAATGTCGCTATTGTCAGGAGCCTGATTATAAGACAATCCAATCCTGCATATAAAGTGTAATTTTTATGGTCCAGGCTAGGGGCTCTGGATTTTGCTTCTGGTTCCTACCAGGGGGTGGCACAACATGCAGGAGCCCATGGTTGGAGAGGGGTGACTGCCCAGTGTGGAGAAGAATGGGGGAGAGGGAAGGGGCATTCATCTGCTGTACACATGGTGGAGTGTTATGGGGTGGCCGCCTGTGCATACGCATGGTGCAGCAATTCGCGGGGACTACCTGTGTGCACAGTGGAGCAGGAAAGGGGGCTGTTCACACTAGTACAGCTGGGGTGTGGGTCCCCCCCCAGTGCAGCTCATGTGGGGTGCTGCCCCTAGCCTCTGAGAGGCTGAACAGCCCTGCCTTAGACAAAGTCTCTGAGTGG